AAAACACGAAAATGTAAACATGTGAATTTTGACATTTAGGCTAAACCATGTTTTGAAACTTTGCACAATGATTATATAGACTTGAAGAAAGACGTAAACTATTGTTATGAAGTCTATAAACAATGAATATAGTATTTTTATAAAGTTGCATATTCTATGCAATGTTTTCAAAAACACAATAGTAAATATGAAATATGTGATTTCATATTATAAACATGAAAAGAGCTTAACGTACTTAACACACATAATATAAAACCTATACTAAGTTACCTAAGCTAGATCTTGATCTTCAATAAGCTCGACTTAGTACACATGCGGATGAAGCTGAACTTGGATCTTGAACTAGAATTGCATAAGCTTCACTGATATTCCGCCAACCTCCTTTGGATATGATCGTTGAAGCTCTATTCCATCCATCCTCCAACTTATTATTTGTCTACAATAAATAACAAAATACAAATACTAGACAAACAATATTAGATGTAAATTGTTTGTTAAATCATCATCAAAACAAGAAGGCTAACAGTGAGATGCTATTGTAGCGGCAACGAGGCGTTGATCTTCCTGCGCTTGCGAAGAGAGGAGGATCTGGAAGAGGAGGGTGACAGATACTCCTTGAACTTTTGTTGGTCAAACTATTACTTGACCTCTTCGTCAACCGGGATCCGGATCCGAGGTTGCGACACTACAACCTCGACAGAGAGGCTGTTGGCTCCCATTGTGGTTGCCAGCGTGTTCGGTTTAAAAGTTAACTTTTTCATTATCATTAAACCTGTTACAATTATTTATCGATTACAAATTCAAAAAAATAGAAAAGTTGATCTTTTTATAAGATCTCCTTACACAATAAAAAATAAAAGATTACAACTTTATCAAACAATACACAGATCCTATTTATTAGTCTCTGTTTGCGGTTGATCTTTGCCTATGCCGAGGACGTCAATATCCATGGACCGTCACGGATCGGATCCGGTTGACAGATGGATTATCAGGGCTTTCACTTCATAAAGAAAGTAATCGCTAAAGTAAATGATCTCAACCAAGCGAGATCATTACTCTTCTCGAGATCAAGTCTAAGCCTGATCTCAAGGAATAGGGGAATTGGGGCCTCAGATCCCTTCGAAATCTACTCTTTATGCACAAGATATCACCAAGATCAAGCTAGACTCTTCTGAAATTCGTGGGGGTTGACTCACAAAACCAGCAGCACCCTGCCCTCTTGATTAAAATTCACGCCTCACTGAAAGAAGGCCCTAGTCTTGTATGTATAGGGCTTCAGATACCCTGTATTTGGATAAGAATGAATGATTTGGCTATATCTTCAGTTGACAATGGTCTAACCATGTTTAGATATAATATCAAGTTAGTTAGGAAGCTTAGGAATGAAGAAATCCCGAAAAACCATGTTTAGATAAGATATCTTTAGTTTTGGCATTTTTTGACTTTTCCGGACTTGTATTTTCTGCCGTTTTGCATCTTTTGTCATTTAGTCGACTTGTACGCTTTGCTGACTTACTTCGTACGTTCGTTAGCTTCTTTACGGCTTTGGATGATCCCATTTGACTCGGATAATCCTCTCTGATTTGGATAATGACGTTCATCGTCTTCTCTTTGTCTCGAGTTGTATTCGGACACCTATAGGCATTTTTAGACGCCTAAAGTCGTAGCCCACCTGCCCACCACTGCTGCTGCCACCCGTAGCCCACAAGCTCCATGCACCACCTCCTTCACCAAGCTCCCTAAGCCCTAGGTAATTCGAAACCTTATTTTTTATTGCTTTATCACAAATTAGCTATATATATTTTCTTTTTTCAAATTTTAGGGTTTGAGTTGATGCTAATTTTGTGAAATTTAGGGAAATCACTTTCAATTTGGTGAAATCAGTTTTAATTTGGTGTTGGATCCCAATCTTAGCCCCTAAACAGCCAAAACCGATGCCTCTCCTCCTTCACAATCTTGAAAAGATGTAACTTTCTATTTTTTGTATTTTTAGATTATTTATTCAATTAAACATGTTGTAATTTGAATATACCGTAATGATTATTACCCTAAACCTGATTATCCTAATTTTAACCCCAATGACAACACAATTCTTAAAAGAAAATAGTAATTAACCTAACCCTAACCCTAACCCTTAAAAGAAAATAGTAACATACCTAACTAATAGCCTAATAATAGTAATTTCCCAAATAATTACCCTTGTTAATTTTAAACATGATATAAATGAAAACATAATGTTTGAGATGTAATTGTTGGGTTATTTCAATTTTAGCCCCTCAAAGCTTTAATGTTTTCAAATTAGTCCCCTAAATAATAGAAATTACTATTGCAACCCTCAAATCTAACTATTATTACCAATTTTCCTTTTATATCATTGAGTTCAGAGTTAATGTTTGGGTTATTTCAATATTAGTCCCTCAAATCTTCAATATTTCCAAATTAGTCCCTCAAATCTTTAATATTTCCAAATTAGTCCCTCAAATCTTCAATATTTCAAAATTAGTCACTCAAATCAAGGAATCTATTACGTCCCCCAAATCATCATAATATTTATAATTTGATCCCCTGGGTAACACCGATTAGATTTAAATAAATATTCCTTTAAATCTAACTATTATTACCAGTTTCCCTTGACTTTTACTTATAAGAAACTGGACCATTAAAAAAATCCAACCCGTTGGACTCAGTTGACCCGTTAAAATGTGAACACTCAAATTCATTAAAAACTTCTTTTTTTTTCTCCAACAGATCTCATCTTTGCTCTAACTCAATTTCAACGACTCTTTCTCCTCTTAGCATTATAAAAACTCCAAGAGAACTTTATCCAAACTATTTCCATCCATTTCTTTAGTGATTAAATCTCATTTAGATCATCTCAAATTCATTAATAGTGTTTACAGGCTCAAGTTCATCCGTAAATAAAGCCAAGAGTAGTGGAGGTCATAGAATCTGCTAGAATAAAGAATGAAAAAAAAAATTAACATAGAATTCCTAATTAATTGAAAAGGGATATGATAAGTTCTGGTATATCATTCGCAAGATTAATATGGTTACATGTTCATAACACGTATAACTAAAAATACTCTCCTCATTGGTCTCTCACCATTTTCTCATCATTTTTCCTTTTCTCATTATTTTCTCTAAACTAATCAAAGTCGAAGCCAAAAACCAAAAAACCCAAAAATTTACTTTTCTCATCATTTTCACTCCCAAATTCTAGGATCTCCTCATTGGTCTCTCGCCAATTAAATAGATAACAGTAAAATTTAGAGAAACTCATTAGATATACCAAAAAATTATAGAAAATCTATAGATGAAAAAAGCAAAAATTTTTGGGTTGTGGGAAATGAAAGCCTAAGGGCAGTATTGTCATTCACCGTATGAGCTTAAGGCTTAACTCAACCCTTCTTATCCAAATAGGAGTTAACTTATACAGAGAGACTCGATTGTAAACATTGTGGTGATTTAAGGGATGTGATAGCAATTTCCATAATTTGGAGAACTAATTTTGAAATATTAAAGATTTGAGGGACTAATATTAGAATAACTCTTAATTTTTTGTGGGGGCCACTTATTGCAACAGGATAACCAGTCACCAATACACATTGGCGACAGAATAAAATCCGTCGCCCATGACTAATGGCGACAGTTTGAAAGTTGCGCCAATGATCATTGGCGACGGGCCCCGTAGCCAATGCTTATTGGCGACAGAACTGTTCCTGTCGCCAATGTTTGTATTGGCCACGGATTCAATATTCATAGTCAATACCGCGTCATGAATGCCCTCTTTTTTACTAGTGTTTTACGGCCGAGCCTACTGCAGCTCCTTCCCCTTGCGTCTTCTAATGAGTTGTTTTCCTTCTGTAGGAAAAAGGTTGAAGGCTCATTTGCCTCATCCTCCATGTCGAAAGGTGATTCAATAATTTTTCCTATTCTCTAATAAAATCTAACATAAACTACTAGAAAGGAACCTATAGCAGATGAAACTACTATACTAAAGTCGGAGGATAATCTAATTTTGCCAGTGGAGTTAGTCATCATGCATTGGTTCAGCTAGTAATAGGCGATGGTGTAGACTCAAGGATAGTCTAGGCTAGACAGAGCCCGTAAGCAGTTACGAGAAAAGCACTGACATATACAGAGATGCAACGCTCGATTTGTAGGGAGGATAGGACAAATGGTGCATCTCTTGGGTCCCAAGTGATTGATGCATATAAAGCACAAAGACAACAGCTAGTCGATCGGCCTCCTGTCAAGCTTAGTTCAGAAGAGAGCAGACCGAGTTTGTTTCTGATATTGCTAGTAGCTAGGTCTCTCTAAGCTCAAACAAGATATTTTGAGTTTTATACCATCCCTCAGTTTGACTGTTTGAGGGTCCTTTCATGGGCCAAAACCTAGTTCACAAAGCCGTATCTTTTCTTAATTTATTTTAAAGTTTGTGACCAATAAGCTTTGATCCTTTGTTATCATATATATCAAAGGACATCACCTCTACACCAAACCTCTAGAGTAATGGTAAGAGTTGAGCTTTATAACTTTATATTCTTAACGGTTAGGGGCCGGGTAAGCTTTATTTTCTAAGGATTTACCCTTTAAACGTAGAAAGTAATCTTCTTTAATTTCTAAGGACTTACCCTTTAAACGTAGAAGGTAATCTTCTACTACATCCCCAATCAAATATACTACGAAGAGATGTCAATACCCCGAGAGAGCTAAAAAATTAAGTGCAGTAACCGCAAGTGAGCTAGTATCTCTTTCATCCCTCATGTGTGCATATAATATTATCAAGAAGTTACGTTAATTCGTTTCACTGTGGATTCATCTATGTAATGAAAAATATTCAATGTATATATAGTTTCATTTTCTCTTCTTATCCGACACTACATGAATAATCAAAGTAAAGAGGAAGCAGAGGGCCACGCTTTCCACTATCTTCTTCCTCAACTTAAACAATGTAAAGTTGCAACACCAAACACAAAGATAAGTACTATAAACTTGCTTCTTTAGCTATGCTAGCTTGCTATTGCTTCAATTATTCCTTCACCTTTATCAATTTCTCTCCTAACACAGAATTATTTACAATAACAATATGATTAATTATACTTTTACATCTCTTCTCCAAGCCATGGCCAGCCTCACCTCATCCTTGTTCTAGCTGTCCAAACTTACTCTATCCCTGTATTAAACTAAAACGGTTAATTATATACAAACCCTTGTAGCACTATACCTCGACTATGGCTACTTATATATCTCTTGAAACTAATTTTTTGCACTTACACTTTCTGACTTTCAAACAATTAATGTTATATCCCAAATTAGCTTAAAATGACACATGAGAATCGCTTGATTAAAAAATTATCTTTTGCGCCATAGTACAAGGTAGGCAAAAAATAATTTAGTCATCTTGAGGTTCTGAGGATGTGAGCGCTGGTTATAAAAAAGTTTTGGGAGCATAAGTGGCTGCAGTACCATATTACACGTAGGTTTATCTGCAATTAACCCATAGTAAAAAGGTCACAAAAGTTATGAGTTTAGGAATTTCCTCCTATTTCTAGCATTTCATTAAGTATGTCTTCATGCTGTCTCCTCCATTTTAACCTCTTGCTTCTCTTCTTCACATGTAGTTCCCCAAGAAGGTAGGAGCCCATAACTCCATTAATGGAGTCTCACTAGCCACTGAAAATGTGTCAGATATAGGAACCAAGCACAAACCTCGGCTCCTTAGATCTTCCAGTCCTTCGACGTTTGCATTCTCCAAATTCTATCAAGGTCACCATCAAAAGCATGTTAGTCATTAATATATGTAGAAACTAATGAATAAAACTAATACAGCATTATGATGATAAGTTAATTAAATACCTTTTGGTGTTGCATTTGATGGCCATTCTTCAAGTAGGGAGTACTTAAAGCCTGAGAGACAAAGATCAGAGATATTAATATTGCAAATGATATGGTCATTGGTTTATTAAGAAAGTGAAAATAATCAGTAGAGGCACTTACACTAACTTGGCCATGGAGAAACTTGATGTACTCAATGGCCTCATGAAGAACTGAAGCAGTATCAGTCTAATCAAGAAATAAGAGTGCCATTAAATTAGATATATATATCGAAAGAGCTTTAACATATCAAAAAGTAGTTTGTGAAAGATTTTACATTAAGCTAATGATTTGATATTAAAGAAGATATTGCACCTTTCCAAAAGGTGAAACTAGTTGCTGAAGTGCAGTGATTCTGTCCCCTAACTTTTCTTTCCTCACCTAAACCAATTCAAGAACACAGAAATCTCTCATCATTGCATGCTTCAAAGAGTAAAGAGAGAAAACATGATAAGCACAGATATAATAATTCTTAATTTCTCCAAAAAATAAAATAAAAATAATGATAATATATATTGATGATCACTTGAGAATCATATAGTTCACCTTAAAGGTTGGCAAAGGTGATGGCGTTGCAAGCCTTTGCTTCTTTGATGCAGGCTGATCATTTCCTTGCTTCTTTGTTTCAGAGGGCTGAGACATAATATATAAACAAAAATTAGCTTTGATAAATTGGAAAATGTAATCAATTATACAATAAAACAACTAAAACAAACCCTAATAACTTGTCGATTATGAGCTCAAATATGCCCATAATAACTTAAATTTAACCAACAACTAATAAAAACCCTAATATTTAGATGAACAGTAGATCTATCAAGTACCTTCATGGTTGTCTGATTGCTACAACAGGATTCATCCTCAAATCTCTTCTCAGAAAATTTGGTAGGAGCTAAATTTGCCGAAGGATTCCAAAAGGCAGCATTATTTGAGAAGTTCATTTGCTGGTTTGAAGCAGAAGAAACTCTAGAATTAAACTGAGGGCTAGAAAAATTACTAGCCCATGAAGCTGGTTGCACTGAACCATTCATGTCCCTTAACGGGTCTGCGGGTTCAAACAGACCCGGTAACAAGACCTCATTGTTCATCGGTGAAAACCCAAAACCTGTTGGGGTTTGATTGAGCTCAACAGGTCTGCAACAATAAATACACGAATGTTATGTTAGCAACAAATTATGCATAATTTAGAGAATATATAACACAAAAAATGATCAAACACATACAGGATTGATGATGAGCATGATGAAATGGATGGTGAAAACTCGAAAGGAGATGAGTTTCTTATCGTGCTCCAGCAGCTCAGAGTGCTGCCTGCATGGAATTCATCTGCCATGGCTTCCAATTTCTTCTTCTTCTTTTTTTCCCAGTATTGTAAGCTTTTATTTTCCCTAGGGATGTTGAGGTCTTTATATAGAAAAGTTAGCGTGAGGGATCAGGTAGGCAGTTGAAGAGAGAATGAAGTAATCTTCTTTGACTTGTAATTGACATTTAGGAGATGAGATTAGGAGAGGAATGATAGACAACTATCTATCTTTATGTTTACTTTAAATAATCTATGGAAAACAAAGTGGAGTGTTTTACATTAAAGTACGGAGGCAATGTAACATTTTATATATAATTCGATTAGCTTTAATTTGTTGGGGATTTGAAATAATCAAATCAAATCCGTACCCTTTCGGATCTTGTGTTTGAGAGTTGAGCAAGAAAGAAATTTACCACAAATCAAAGATAAAAACTTGTAGGAAAGTAAACAAGAAAGAACACACCAGATTTAACGAGGTTCGGCAACGTGCCTACGTCCTCGGGACCCCCACCACACAATTCTTTGATTACTTGAAGAAGATTACAATGCTTACAATTGGCCTCTCTCTCTCTAAGATTTCTAACCTCAAAGAGCCCTCAAAACCTTCTTTTTTCGTGCTCTTTTTCTCTCTTAAACCCTAAAGGGACGTGTTTCTATTTATAACAAAACACAATCTAAACAGATTAGGATTCTAAAACGAGTCTGCTACACCCTGATGTGACGCAGACCATACCCATGGCAAACAGGGCAGGCTCTGCCACACCCTGGTGTGGCGCAGACCACACCTATGGCCTGTCTTGAATTTTCATACAATTGTTTATTTTGATTCTAGGTTTGGGTCTCCACTCTCAAGACCAACAATCTCCCACTTGAAGATCAAACCACCATCAATGAGCTCTCCCGAACTCTGCCTTTTTCGCAAGCATCTTCTCCTACTTGAAAAATCCATTCTTCAATCATCAATATCCCGGTGATCTCGCCGATCATCGTAGTGTGGCTCCGCCTTTGTCTTCTACTCGTGAAGGCTAACTGAAGTTGCGCACAACTCTAGTTTCTCAATGGTGACTGTCTTCGTCAACATGTCCGCCGGATTTTGACTCCCCAAAATCTTTATCAAATGTAATTTTCCGTCTTCAACTAGCGAGCGTATAAAATGGTATTTGACGTCGATGTGCTTCGTTCTGACATGATATACTGGATTCTTGGTAAGATGTATAGCGTTCTGGCTATCACAATAAAGAACTCCTCTCTCTTGCTTCAGATCTAACTCTTCCAAGCACCCGTTCAACCATATCATCTCCTTGCTTGCTTTAGTCACCGCGACATACTCAGCCTCGATTGTAGACAAAGTCACAATCTTCTACAGACGTAAGACCCAGCTCACTGCTGTCGATGCTAAGGTATAAACATACCCCGTGGTGCTTCGCCTCGTATCATGATCACTGACGAAGTCTGCATCCACGTATCCCTGCAGCACCAACTCCTTCCTCCTGAAACATAATGGCTTGTTCGTTGTCCCTCTCAAGTACCGTATTATCCACTTCACGGCCTCCCAATGTTGCTTTTCTAGATTGCTTGTAAATCTGCTCACAAATCCCACTGCATGGGCGATGTCCGGCCTCGTGCAAACCATCGCGTACATGAGACTCTCAATGACCAAAGAATATGGCACCCTGCTCATATGCTCTCTATCTGTATCTGTCTTAGGCGATTGCTCCTCAGATAACTTGAACTGACTTCCAAGGGGTGTGCTAACAACTTTAGCATTATGCATGTTGAACTTTTGAAGTACCTTCTCAATGTATTCAGCTTGGCTCAATCTCAATGTCCCTTAAGCTTCATCCCTACTGATTCACATTCCTAGAATCTGCTTCGCTGCACCCAGATCCTTCATTATAAACTCCTTTACTAGATGCTTCTTCAAACAGTTTATCTCCTCTAAACATGGTCCTGCTACCAACATGTCATCAACATATAATAACAAAATAATGAAGCTGGACTCGAACCTTTTGAAATAACAGCAATGATCCGAATTGCATCTTCTGTAGCCATTGTTCTGCATGAAGTTATCAAACTTCTTATACCACTGTCTCGGAGCCTGTTTCAAATCATATAAGCTCTTCTTGAGCTTGCACACCATCTCTTCATTTCCTTCTTCAATGAAGCCAACAGACTGCTTCATGTAGATTTTTTCATCCAAGTCACCATGAAGAAAGACAGTCTTCACATCTAACTGCTCAAGAAAGAGGTCTTCTGCAGCTACCAAACTCAACACCACTCTGATGGTTGTGAGTTTCACAACAGGGGAAAATATCTCCGTGTAGTCCACTCCTTCCCGCTGTTGAAACCCCTTCACTACTAATCTGGCCTTGAATCTCTTGCTTCCATCACTCTCCTGCTTGACCCGATAGACCCATTTGTTATGTAAGGCTTTCTTCTGTGTAGGTAGCTGGGCTAACTCTCATGTCTCATTAGTGAGTAGAGAATCCATCTCCTCCTGTATAGCATGCTCCCACTGCTGAGATTCACTCACTTGCATTGCCTCTTCATAGCACTCCGGCTCACCACTATCTGTCAATAATAGGTAGTCAAGAGATGAAAGATATCTGAATTTGGTTTGGGTACCTTGGATAACCTCCTAGCTCCACGTCCTGGGTAGTTTCTTCTGCACCTGGAGCCTTCTCCATTCTCTGATTAGAATAAACATCATCACCCCTATCTGGAAGTTCCTCTAAATCCATGTACTCGGATCCACATGTATCTGTAGTGCTGCTCCCACTGCTTTGGCTATCCTTAGCATTTTTCCTGTTCTTGTACATCACCTCCTCATTGAATATCACATCCCTGCTTCTGATGATCTTCCTGTTCTTCTCATCCCAAAGACGATACCCGAACTCATCAATGCCGTATCCAATGAATGTGCACTTCTGTGACTTAGCTTCTAGCTTGTCCCTGACTTGATCACTGATATGAACATAAGCCACGTAACCAAATACCCGCAAGTGTGAGAGATTTATTTTCTTTCCACTCCAAACCTCCTCTGGAATCCTAAAATCCAATGGAACTGATGGCCCGTGATTAATAAGGTAGGCTGCCGATGCACCGCATCCGCCCAAAATGTCTTAGTCAAACCTGCATATAATCGCATGCTCCTGGCGCGCTCTGTCAAGGTCCTGTTCATCCTCTCCGTAATTCCGTTCTGCTGCGGCGTCCCTAGAGTAGTCCTCTCTAAGCGAATACCATTCGTAGCACATAACCTCTTGAACTCCTCCAGCTCGTATTCTCCACCATTGTCTGATCTCAGACATTTTATCTTTAGATCTGTCTCGTTCTCCACCATGGCCTTCCACTTCTTGAAGATTCCAAACACCTATGACTTGTGCTTCATGAAGTAGATCCACACCTTCCTCGAGTGATCATCGATGAAGGTGACATAATATCTCGAACCGCCAAAAGAAAACACACTGGCTGGACTCCATACATCTGTATGAATCAACTCTAGCTTCTGAGCCTTAGGTGACCTTCCACCCTTCTAAAAACTAACCCTCTTCTTCTTCCCAAAGATACAGTCTTCACAAACCCCGACTTCCACGGAGTCGATCCCTGTTAGCTTTTCCTGTGAATGTAAGATCTTCATCCCCTTCTCGCTCATATGCCCTAGCCTGTTGTGCTACAGATCTGTACTCTCTTTGTCAGCTATAATTACGAGGGTATCACTCACATGTAAGGTGAGGTAGAGAGATCATCGTACCGTTGGAGATTCTCCACGAATCCCCTGTGAATGTCGAAACATAGCCTTCTGCTCCAAGCTGTCCCACCGAAACAAGATTCCTCTTCAACTTCGGTACGTGTCTCACGTTCTTCAAGGTCCATTTAGAACCCTTCATTTGAATCTGCACTTCACCCTTTCCAACAATATTACAGGGCTCGTTATTCCCCAAATATACTTTTTCAAAGTCCCCTGCTACATAATTCTGAAAGAGTTTCCTATTAGCAGTAGCATGGAAAGAAGCTTCTGAATTGATGACCCAAGAATCCGAGTCGCTATCCATAGCAAGGATTAAGGCATCCTGCACGATATGAGCCTCCTTCTCACCCGCATCCCTCTTTGGACTTTTGCAGACTGAAGATATATGGCCCTCCTGGTCGCACTTCCAACCTTCGAGTTTAGCCTCTTCTTCACTGATTTTGACCGATTTCTGTTCTGCTTTCCTTTTTTCTGGCTTCTGCCTCTTTGCTCGAAGTTTAGAGTTGAACCTGAACCTTCTGATTCGGACGATTTCCTTCTAACCTCCTCAGATAGAATCATGCTAACAACCACACTCAGCTTTAACTTCTCCTTCCCTGCCGAATTGCTGATTGCTGTCACACAACCTGCCTAACTATCCGACAACTGCGATAGAATCAATAGGGTTTGCACTTCGTCATCAAACGTGATGTCCATGGAGATAAGCTGATCAACAATCATGTTGATCTCGCTGAGGTGCATCGTGAAGGACCGTCCTTCTGCCATCTTAAGGTTGAAAAAAGTTTTGACGAGATGTACCTTGTTTGCTGCCGACGGTTGCTCGTACATCTTCGCGAGCACTTTCATAAGCCCCACTGTCGTCTTCTCCTTCATAATATTGTGATCTACTGATTTGGCGAGCGACAAACGGATTTGCCCTAGAGCCTTCCTATCCAGTATCTCCCAATCACCATCTGACTCCTCCTTCTTTCCCTTTTCCTTGCCTATCAACGGGCGATACAAGTCCTTCTGGTACAGATAGTTCTTCATTTGTGACTTTCAGTAGGCAAAATCTGAACCGTCAAATTTCTCGATCTTTAATTTATTTTCCTCTGCGATGACTTTCACACAAATTGCTGAACGAAGCTCTGATACCAGTTGTTGGGGATTTGAAATAATCAAATCAAATCCGTACCCTTTCGGATCTTGTGTTTGAGAGTTGAGCAAGAAAAAAATTCACCACAAATCAAAGATAAAAACTTATAGGAAAGTAAACAAGAAAGAACCCACTAGATTTAACGAGATTCAGCAACGTGCCTACGTCCTCGGGAGCCACACCACACAATTCTTTGATTACTTGAAGAAGATTACAATGCTTGCAATTGGTCTCTCTCTCTAAGATTTCTAACCTCAAAGAGCCCTCAAATCCTCTTTTTTTGTGCTCTTTTTCTCTCTT